ATCTTCATATGTCTCTTCATATCTTGCTAAAAATACACCACATCCCATCGTTAGCATGGATGGTGGATGATCGTCGCGACGCCGCATACGTGCGACACATGGTTTAATTTATAAGATAGCAATAAACAACAATAAAGGATTAAATTAAAGATTTGGAAATATTAGTGATCAAGTTGTAATGTATTAACACATATAGGGACTGATAAATAATTTACTATTCAAGTTCGGAATCTCTGGGTACTAAAAGATTCCATTTCAAATCTCTTAAAATACTATCAAATATATCAACCCTTTTAATTTACAATTCTAAAAAAAAAAGATTTAATATTAAAATTAATTTCTTAAAATATTAATTTATCCCTTTTTAAAAAAATATAAAAAAATAAAAAAAATTAAGTTTTATGTCTTCCAAACATGTGAATTAAACTTATTTATTATATCTTCCAAACATGTGAATTAAACTTATTTATTAATTAAATTCAAATCAAACACTATACATTAATTCAATTACAATAAAGAATTAGTTTTAAACAATTTATTAAGAAAAACATAAAAACATTAGGATACAACATTTAAGTGATTCTCTAAATATAAACATAAACAATCAAATATAAAATTATAATACATTTTATATTATAACTTCATGATTTTTAAATTCAAATAAATATTAAAAATAAAATGTACCTTTGGATCCATAACATACCCTTTTAAAATTTAAATTTTTAATATAATTTGTTGAAGAAAGTTGTGCATCTTTTCTAATTCTTAATTATTATTTAATGTAATTATTTTATAGAATAAAACATGCAAGAATTAGGTAGTTTTCTAAATAGACTCCTTATATTATACACATATCACATGTACATTTAAATAAAAAACTACTTTTCAAATTAATCAATAACGTTTTAATATTAGTATTTAATAAATTATTTAAGAGCTTGTTGAACCTATAAATTTTAATTCATTTTCGAATTAATAGTAATTTTTAATTGCTTCATTAATAAACAACATAAAATTTATTTTTTATTTCTTTTTTACATCTACAATGAGTTACTTTATAATTACATTGCATCATGCACAATCATATATCTAATTATCCATATGGAATGAACATTTAAAGGGATATAAAATATAAATAGCTACTAACCTATTTTTTAATTAAAAATATACAAACATATAATTATATATTCATATACTTGGTATCTTACATTAGATCCGTTTTAATATATTTCTAAATATAATTTTAATTAACAATCATTTAATTATTACAATAGTCATCTACTTGGTATCTTACATTAGACCCGTTTTAATATATCTCTAAATATAATTTTAGTTAACAATCATTTAATTATTACAATAGTCAGAATAAAAGTTATTTAATTTACATGGTGCAAACATTATTCTATTTACATACTTATTCATAAAAATCTACAATATATATTATTATATTGGTTTATCTTATAAACTATATTGATCATAATATCATGCCTTTTTAGTCCCGCGTGACTTGTAATGAATCTATAATTAAATAAATAAAATATAATGATATAATTATTATTTTAATCATAAAATTTATTATCTATAAACCATTGACTACACTTAACACCAACATTTAACTCAATTTTTTTTTTTAAAAAAACAAAAGCTATCATTCACATTTTCAACTAATCAAAATTAATTATCACATCTTAACAACAATCTCTTCTAATTGATTTAACTTCAACAACTATTTTAATTACCATTATTTTGACTATCCCCTCACGGATGTAAATAAATTCAACAATTCATTTAATTATGAATAATACAAGGGATGCTAATAAATTTAACAGTCCTTCTAATTATTAAACAATCTAATTATCTTCTACATACCAATAAATTCAATAATTATTTTAATTGTCAACAATTTAGTTATTCATTCCTAAATGTCAATAAATTTGACAATCATTCTAATTGTTAACAATTTGATTATCTCTTAATGGATATCAATAAATCCGTAATTTGTTCAATAAATATGACAAATTTTTTGATTGTCAACAATTCAACAATCTCTTTATAGATATTAATAAATTTAATAATTTTTTTAATTGTCAATAATATGACGATCCCCTACAATATTATTTCTCTTTCTTATTATTTATTCATTAGTTTCAATCCGAGAATCAACAAAATTCTACCACATTAATTTATATTCTTACTATCCAAAGTGTTTAAATTCTAATCATATATAATATTTTTATTTTCATCCAACATGCAAAAATTCTATTTAAATCCATCTCATTATAATCGATATTTTTAATTAATTGGATGTTAAATACATCCAATTATATATTTATTCATAAAATTCCACAATTCTCATGTCTTTTCTCTTGGTTGGCCGACACCTCTCACTTAAACGATAAATTCTCCTCTCATTTTCACACTATTTAACTACTTTTACATTTCTCTACTATAATTACATCTTTATTACAATTTCCTTCATTACGTAATTTCCCTACTTTCATCTTCCATGGTTTTACTACTTCACACAAGCGTGTGACTGGAGCAACATTTAGGATCCGTTTATTTGCACGCAAGTGAATTCTAAAAAAAAAAACATTTTTAAAAAGTAAAATATTTTTTGATATTTAATAGTATTATAAAAAATAAACTGAAAAATAATTTTTAGTGTTTGGTTATGTTATGAAAAATGAACTGGAAAATAATTTATTAATATTTTTTTAAGTTTATTAAAATAATAAGGAATAAATCTTACAAATTAAAAAGTTGAATAATAATAAAATTGAAAAAAAAATAATTTCATAAATTATCTCAAATAAAATAAATAATAATCAAAATAATAAAGATCAAATCTAAAAAAAAGATAAAGAAATTAAAATAATAATAATTAACATTTCATAAAGTATTTCAAATAAAATAAATAATAATCAAAAAAAATAAACACAAGAAAGTTTGGAAAATATTTTCCCAGAAATCATTTTCTAGAAAACAAATACAGCTAAAAAGAAAAATACTTTCTTGAAAACTAAGCTAATTTTTTTGACTAAAAAATATTTTTATTGACCAGAAAATGACAAATACAGTTAAAAAGTGTTTTTCGTTGACCGGAAAGTGTTTTTTGTTGAATAATTTTTCTAATGACAAATAAATACAGGAAAATTTAAAAAATAAATTTCCAAAAACTATTTTTCAAAAAACAAATATGGTCTCAAGGAAAATATGGATTAATTAATAAAAAAATTTATATTAATTCTTTATTAATATCATATCGCAGACCAATAGTGTTTTCACAGTAGAAAACTCCATTTTTTTTTAGATTTTGTTATAATTATAATATATGATAAACATAAAAAAATTGTCCGCTTCCAAATAATCGGACAAGTTCTGTAAGACCCGATCGCCCAGACGGCCAAGGTGTTAGCCACAGAGGCATGACAAGTAATTAAGAGAACCATAATTCTCCACCGCTGACCTGTCATACTACGACGGCCCAGGTCTCTTGAATTCGACCCGTGGAAAGACGGAAAACCCTAAACATGCTTTCTCTCTTGCTTCTTGAGCCGAACCACACTCTTGAAATCTCGGCGGCGTAGGCGTAGCGAACCACCGTGAGCTCTCTGCCTCTCCATTTTCTATTCTCCTCTCCTCTCTTCTTTGATTTTCAAATGCTATCATCTTATGTGTATGGAGCTAACAAATGTGGTTGGTGCGTGTTTTGTTTGAATGCTGCTTACGAAGAAGATTGTTAAGAAGCGAGTTAAGAAGTTCAAGAGGCCACAAAGTGACCGCAAGATCTCTGTCAAGGTATGATTTACTTTTGTTAAATATGTTAGCTTACAACGTTGGGATTCTGTAAGGAAAATGATGATACTTGTTGTCGCCCCAGTCTTACTTGCATTTTGAGGTGCAGGATGGTGATTGACATTCCTTGTCTGATTCCTTCAACTTATAATCATTGGACCATGTCTTATAATTTTTATTTTTTATTTTTTGAAATTGGTTTTTTTAGCCTTGTAATGAAGAGCCCATTTGACACCCAGTCTCATTTGCTTCCTTCTTTGGTTGCAGTATGGCGAGCTAGCGATCGACAATCCGGTCCCTTTTAGGCTAAACAACTACCCTTTTTTTTTTTTTAATCTTCAATCAGTATAATTGTATAGTCTGATTTCCTTGTTTCGTTTACAGGATAGGAGTTGTAGTCCTTTTCTTTTGTCCCTGGGTTTGAAGGATATGATGAAGCTTTTTTGACACCTAGTCTTAGTCCTAATGGAAGCTGCTGATTAAATTATTTTGATCTGATCCTTCAGGGAAAAAAGCGACTTCTTACTGTTTTTAGTTTTGTTAATGTTTTAGATCTACATGTAGTTTTTTGAGTTAAGGAGATATGCAATGAGGTGTGATGATATTTATCCACCATTTCTGCTATAGGATGATGAATTTTATACATGCACTACCATCTGATCTCATTTGCATATCCATGCGGCTGTTTATTATATAGTATTCTATTTTCTATATTTACACTGCAATCTATGATGCAAATCATTTGTCAGTGCTGATTGTACTGTGATGATCATAAAAAAATCACCATCTTTCGGCTGAGGTTGCAGATTTTGGCTAGTCTTTCAATGTGGGGTTTCTTATGCTTGGTTTATCTTCTCTAAATTTCTTAGGATGTAGAGGTCTATTAAATGTTGCCATTTGCCCATGGTATCTGATGTCCAGAATTTGTTTTTGTGGCTGGGCATTTCGTGTAAAGGGCAGAAACAGATTATAAACAGGCCCTGCGATGCGACACAGCTAGCTGGTCCCTACAAGCTTTACTGTTACTTTATCCCTGCTTACATCTCTTTGTTGCCTGGCTGCCCATGTTTTCCTGTTAGCCGGTTTCTTTGATTTGTTTCCCATAACTCTCCTTCTCTCAATGTTACTATATGGATCTTCTTCATAAGCGTTTCATTTTCTTCTGATACCTATGTTTCAGTCTTCATAATTTTTGACAGACAAGCTGGCGCAGACCAAAGGGTATTGATTCTCGTGTTTGAAGAAAGTTCAAGGGATGTACTCTGATGCCCAATATTGGTTATGGTTCTGACAAGAAGACTCGTCATTATCTTCCAAACTGCTTCAAGGAATTTGTTGTCCACAATGTCAAAGAGCTAGAGGTGTTGATGATGCACAACAGGTAAAAACACAGATAAGCTCTTATTGTCAGAGTACTTTATACCAAGCAGATCACTCTCTTTCCCAATTGACGATTCTTTTTAATGTGATCCAGGACTTACTGCGCTGAGATAGCACATAATGTGTCAACAAGGAAGAGGAAAGAGATTGTGGAGCGAGCGCGCAGCTTGATGTTGTTGTAACTAACAAGCTCGCGAGGTTGCGTAGCCAGGAGGATGAATGAAGAACAGAGTCTGTGTTGAGGAGGGAGGAATTATTTTCCATGTGAAGTATGCGAATTTTGCTGTTTTACAGTCTCTGTAACATGGTAAATTATGATATTCTCTGATAGCAATACTACATTTGTTGCCCATCTGTGCTGTGGCTGGCGCTTTCCTCCCCTTGTATTACTTTGTAGGGTTGCCGAGATGAAAGTCAGATGGTGTTTTCCCTCCGTAAATAGTCTTGAGTATCATTGAAAATGGAGGAGCTTCGGTTCTCAAAAGGAAACATTGGTTTACTTAACTGGCTGAATTTAATATATTTCAGGCAAATGAAATTCAACTCTACGTACTATCAATTTGTTCAAATTCAAATGACTATCGTTGATAAAATTGTGTTAGATAAACTCCTATTCTCAACCACAAAAAAAAGTCCGAGACCAAAATGTACTTTTTCATGGCATGAACAATAAAAAAGAAAAACCTTACTCGGTGTTAAATCTGGTCCCTAATAACCTAAAGCCACGACCTATTTCAACATTGCATCCAGCCATGCACATATCAAACTAACCAAAAGAAATTATTAGATAATGATGAAATTAAAAAAATAAAAAAATTTCAAGGGCCAAAGTCAACAATTACAAAAGATACGAAGAAAAGGCACTATAGCTAGATGTGTTTAGTGCTCATGTTGTCGCAGATTGAACAAATTATTGTTTTAATGTAAAAAGAAATCTTAGGTGATAATAGTGTTTTTAAAAAAGTAAAAGAAATCCAAGAGTTAGATTATTAACTTTATTGGATTCAATAATCTCAATTAATTTAACAATGTAATTAAAAAATAGATAACAATAACAAAGAAATAAAAAAAAATTTAGCCTGAGTTAACTTCTATTAACTCTAAAAACTTGTGGCTTTACTCATTAGATTAAAATAATCCTATCAAAGGATGAAATGAGAAATTTTTTTGTAAATAATGACTTATATATAAAAAAAAACGTAAGCCAACTTAAATTAATCTTTTAAACTCGTGACTTTAGAGATCAGAATCATCTCGTATAAGATAAACCTCAAACAATCATAAGTCAAATCCCAGATTAACAAAATTCTGATTAATAAAATATTGAGGGATGACATTAAAAAAGAAAGTTTCAAAACAAAAAGAATTAAAAATAAAATAAATAGCAATTAAAATAATAAGAATCAAATCTTCATTAAGAAAATAAAATAAAATATTGAGTGATACAATTAAAAAGAGAATTCAATTAAGAGAATTATATAAATATTAAAGGATGCAATTAAAAAGATAATTTAATTAAAAGAAAGATTAAAAATAAAAAATTCACAATCAAAAGAATGAGGACTGAATCTAAAAGGTGAGAAAAATCAAAAGAGGATTAAATTGAAAGAAAATTCTAATTTTATAAATTATTTAAAATAAAACAAATAAAAATAAAAATAATAAAGACCAAATCTAAAAAAAAACAAATTAAAAGGTTGTCTTGAAAATTTGTAGGGAAAGGCTCTAAAGCCGAGGAGGAGAGAGGAAAAAAACAAGAAAATAAAATAGTAACCAGTGCAAAACTAGATATATTTTGGTCACACCCACCGCCTAAAAATAGAGGCAACGCCGTGAGGATTCAAAAGCCATTGTGGAAGCTAAAGTTTGGTTGCTGAACTGCATTATATGCACCGCTATAAGAGTGTGGGAGCACCCATGCATGTACATGTAACATTCATGTACAATCTATTTTTTAAAATTAAACAATATCTTATACATGCTAAAATACTAAATTACCCATAACCAAACTCGATATAATAAAAAACCAAACTAAAAAGGCAAAAAGAAAACCTTAACCCAAGTTGAAGGCAATTTCAATTTAAAGGCATTATGGTCATTTTATTTTGTATCTAAAATGAAAAATCTAAAAATACCTCTACCCACTATTGCATTATTATTATTATTATTATTATTATTTATTCAATAGTATACATTAGTCTTTTTACTATGAAAACAACAACAAAAGGAGCTTTATATCTCGCTTCCAAGGCTAATTATGTTTTGTTGAGAAGGCCAAAATTATAATTTTACTATTCCAATTTATAATAACAATGAGTCTAGAGCAATAATAAATTTTCTATGGTGAAAGCTCTACCCCTTATAGTTTCTTTTAATGTAATTTGTAAATTTACACGGTACATATATAAATATATTTATATTGCAGTTAAAATTATATCTTATTTTTGTATTTTTTTTCAATAGTATTGCGTTCCAAATTATAATGGTTCATAAATAATTATGCAGAACTATTCTTATGTATATTACTTGACAACATATTTTTCTATGTCTTTATTCCTGATGATAATCAACAAATAACACTATATGATTCGTTATATATGTTAAGTGAATTTATTACGAGGGCAAGAGCTAGTTCATAAATAATTATGCAAAACTATTCTTATGTATATTACTTGACTACATACTTTTCTATAAGTCTTTATTCCTAATGATAATCAATAAATAATACTATATGATTCATTGTATATGTTAAGTGGATCTATTACAAAGGCAAGAGCCAAGAGGATTAAAGAGGTATTCAATAAGCCGATTCATGATATTTGAACCAAGCAAGCTTGAAGAATTCATTCTAAGATAACATCAAGCATGATGTTGAAGTTTAAAAGAGGATTAATCCTTAATCAATATGATTCGAGTAAGAAATAAGACTACTTAATATGCACTAGAGCTTGACTACACAACTTTATATTAATGATTATGACTTTAAATCTAATAATTGACTATACTAAAATTTTGCTAGAAGATTTTAAAAGTGATCTTATTTTTTATAAATGTTAAATTTCATAGTAATCAAATATTGGAAAGATCTTTTAAAAAAACCGAGAAGTTACTACTTAAGAATATATAGATTGAGCCTTATTAAATACAAGCATTAACTTTGTACTTTATTCCTATTCAATTTTGGATTTAAGTTAGTTATATAAGTTTAATTTAATCTCATTAGCTAATTAGGATTTATTTTGAAACCATATTCTATAAGTAGCTGAAATCAGATTGAATAAATAAATGTTTTTCATTATTAAGAATGGAACAATATAAGTGTGCTTGGATTCTTTATTTAACTTTCAAAACTTGTCAAAGATATCATCTTTAAGGTGTTCTAACCATATACCTTATGTTGTTGGGTGAATATTTTAATTTTTAATTATAGGTTAAAAGGTTTAACTTTCAGGGTTTATATCGGTTTGGTATCAAAGCTTGGCTATAACATCAGGTTCATTATATTTAATTTATTGTTTTTTTATTGTTTGAATTTCATTTTCTTTTTTGTTTTAAGATTTCAAAATAGATAATTGTTCTTTGTATTGAATCATACCATTTAGGTTTAAAATACACCTTATGCACATTTATTAAAATAGTTAGCGTAAATTTGTCTAACTTATGTTATTTATTTTTTGGTTTTCTTGTTTTCCAATTGCTTTTTATAGTGATTAAAAAAAAGTCTTTTAGTTATTTGTGTTTTGCTAAGAAGTTCATTCTTCAATTTGTTTTGTTAAGTTATTATTCAATAAAATCTTTTTTTGTTAATCTTTGGCGTTTAATTTTTCATTCAAAATAGTGCTTAATGCTAAATTTTTGTCTTTACATATCCAATTAAACTAATACCAGACTTATTCCTTTATAATTTTTTTATGCTCTTACTTTATAAATTTCTTTGTTGTTTTTTGTTTACCTTTTTTATTTTTCTTTGAATTCTCTTATTTGAACACTACATTAAATTTTATTTTTTAATAGATTTCATTTAGTTCAATAAAAAACTAAAAAGGAGAAGTTAAGAGTGGGAAAAAAGCAAAAGGATGTGATATTAAGATCAAACTTATCCAATTAAACTAATATCCAATTAAAATAATACCAAAAACTAAAAAGGAGAAGTTAAGAGTAGGAAAAAAGCAAAAGGATGTGATATTAAGATCGAGAAAAGCTAAGTAAATAATAAAACACAAGAGGAGTAACATATGCTTAACTGCAAACATATAAAGAAGTGTATAAGGTTCATTACTCAATCTTTTACGACTTTCAAATACATCTTTCAAAAAATATAAAGGTGATCAAATACCAATGGTTGATATAAGTATATTTAAGGTAAATGATGATAGGCGTGATAAAGGGATTAAAAGGGACACTAGTGGTTACGATGGTGTAGATATGAGCCTTATGAGTATTAAAAAAAAAAATTCCATCATTCTAAGGAATAAATGATCTATAAATCTACATAAAGTGGGAGAAGAAAGTAAATCTATTTTTTTATTATCATAATTACTTTGAGGAGAAAAATGTGAAGTTAGTCGTGATAAAGTTTATTGACTATGCAATCATATAATATGATCAACTTGAGATGAATAAGAGAAGAAATCATGAAAGACCTATTGAGACTTGCAGTGAAATAAAGGTTGTCAGGAGAAGAAGTTCATCCTTAACATTACTAGTAGTACCTTATCAGAAGTAAAGAGAGTCTTTCTCAAGATTCTAAGAGTCTTGAAGATTACCTTAAAAAGATGGAGGTACTTGATTTAGAAAAATATAAAAAAGGATAAGGAAGTTATTATAATAATATTTTTAAATAGTTTGAACTAAGAAATAACAAATATTGTTAAGTTACATCATTATATAGAATTAAAAGATATGGTGCATATGGTTATGAAGGTGAAATGTTAACTAAAAAAACAAAGGAAAATTCAAAGCTAAGTTGAAATTATGATTTGTTTGTGTCATGGAGACCAAATTAGAAAAAGAATGATAAAGTTGTTTATAAGGAAAAAACCAAACCACCTAAGGGAATGAAAGATGCATCCATTAATATTAGAGTTAAATATGATCATTAACCATCTCATGATATATAATATTTTAGATGTTTAGGGATATAACACATAACTTTTCAATATCCAAACAAAAAAAGCTATGATTATGTGTGGTAATGAGGAAGGGAAAACTAAAAATGATAGTAAGAATGATCAAATTTTACAACTTGAGGATGTTAATGATGATGAAATAAAGTATCCAGTTAGGGTGAGTTGTTTGTAGTTAGGAGTGCATTAAGTGCTTAAATCAATGAGAATGAGTTGAGGTAATATAAGGAAAACATTTTTCATACTAGATAACATATTAATAACAAGGTATGCAGTATAATTATCAACATAGAAAGTTATGCTAGTGTAGCTTGTATTATTTAAGTTAAAAAATTAAATTTGCCTGCTCTAAAACACCATAAGCCATATAAGTCATTATGGTTGAATGCATGTTGGGAAGTAAATATGAAAAAAACAAGTGTTAGTTTCGCTTTCAATTAGAAGGTAAATGATAAAGTTCTTTGTGATGTTGATCCTATACATGTAGGTTACATACTAGGCGGACTTAGGTAGTTTGATAAGAATGTTATTCATGACGGATTCAAGAATATGTATTATTTTGAAAAAAATAATAAATCCATTACCTTTATATATTTAACCTTAAAAAAATTATATAAAGACCAATTGAAATTAAAAAGAGAGATTGAAGCTAAAATAATAATAATAAAAAAGGTGTATGAGAGAGAAAAAAGAGAAAGGCCATGTGAGAAAAAAAAAGGTGTATGAGAGGAGAGAAAAAAGAGAAAGGCCATGTGAGAAGAATGAAATAGATGTTGTTGAGGGAAAAAAAATATAAACAAGAAAGCTTTTATAAAAGAAAGAGTGATGTCAAAAAAGTTATGTACATTACCCAGCCTATATTTGTACTTTTGTGTAAAAAGACATATTTTAATACTAACAATCTTGAAAAATCTCTTCTTATTATTGCTAATTTTTATTGTACAAATATGAAAATGTATTTTCTAATGATATTCATAATGAAAAAAACATCAAATTGGTTTTTTTGCCTAAAGTTATAATTCTCAACTGACCAACCTATAAAAGTAATCTAGAGAAGTAAGAGGAGTTTTAAAGACAAATTAAAAAGTTGTTGGCTGTTAGGTACTTAAGGGTGAGCATGAGTCCTTTCATGTTTCAATACTACTTATGTTTAAGAATGATGTGTCTTGAAAGATGTGTGTTTATTGCAAGGCTATTAATAATTCATAGGCTAAAGTATAAACGGATGTCTAAAGTATAGACATATTATGGAAGATGTGTGTCAATAATATTATAATAAAATATAAACATTATTTTTAGGCTAGATGAATGAAAAACTATCTTAAAGAATAAATATAAATTGTATGAGTGGTTGAATATTTTATCTTATCTCACTAATACACCTAACACATTTATTAAATTAATAAATCATGTATTGCGTGTATTTATAAGCAAATTTATTATTATTTTGATGATATCTTCATGTACAATGAAATCTTAGAGGAGTATATTAATCATTTTTGTTGTGTGCTTAATGTTTTGAGAAATAAAAATTTGTATGTTAATTTTAAAAAATATTTTTTTTTGCATGGATAAAGTTGTTTTTCTTGACTATGTTATTAGTGAAAAATGTATAGAAATGAATGAAGAAATTATAAAGAAACTTCATGTGAGTGTTTGACAACAAATAGAAAATAAAAATAAACAATATACATCTAAGTCCAATAAGGATTATAGGTAAGTTATCTTCAAACATGGTGATTGAGTTTGTATGCATACGTGAAAGGAAAAAAATTCAATCTATAGGTGATCCAAGTTGCATTCTAGAGGGAATGATCCATTCCAAGTCATTGAATGGATCAATGAAGTCATTGAATGAATTAATGACAATGTATACATGTAGGAACTTCTATGTGTGTATAATGTTAGTGCCACATTTAGCATTTCTATTCTTTCTTTTTTTGATGTAGTTGGCGATTCAATATTGAATTAACAATATTCAATAAGAATCCTTTTAAAGAGAGGAGGAACAATGAGAATTAATAAGCAACATTACAAGATCCGTGCATGTGTTGAATGGACCTATTATAAAGGCAAAAGCTAAAAGAATCATAAAGGCATTCAATAGACTAATTCATGATATTTGACCCAAGAAATTTTCAAGAATTCCTTTATGACATCAAGCATGAAGTTTGGCAATTCGATATTGAATCCTTTTAAAAAGAAAAGGAATAATGATAATTAATAAGCAACATTACAAGATCCGTTGCATGTGTTGAATGGACCTATTTTAAAGGCAAGAGCTAAGAGGTTCAGAAAGACATTCAATAGACTAATTCATGATATTTGATCCAAGAAATTTTCAAGAATTCCTTCTAAAATGACATCAAGCATAAAGCTGAAGCTCAAATGATAATTAAGCATTGATCAATATGATCAAAGTATGAGAACAGCTTGTTTAACATGCACTAAAGCTTGACTATAGCTTTATATTAATGATTGTACCTTTTACAGCGATCGTTGAATTATACCAAACTTTTGGTAAAAGATTTTAAAAATCATGTTTTCTATAAAATTAAAATTTCATAGCAATTATTGATTAGGAAGGTCTTGCGATAAAGATTATATTTACCATTAAATAATATACAAATTGAAACCTCATTAAATACAAGCTTGGATGTTATACCATATTTTTAGTCTAGATTTTTGTTGTCATTAAGAATTGAATAGCATTAGTAAACTTCTTCTTTGAACTTTCAGAACTTTCAATCCTTAATTCAAAAAATCATTGGGTCAAGATTTTCAAATATGAATTTAGCTTTCTTGAATGACCAAATCAAGAATTCTTGATTATGAGTTATAAAATTTAGCCTTCCGGGTTCGGATCAATTCATTAATCCATTCATCCCACATATGCATAGAAAACATATTGATCCTAAATACAGAGAATAAGGAACAAGTAAAACGCTAACCCTATGACCTGTAAATTTGTTCCTAGAAATTGACCATGTCAAATTATCGAACATTAGTAACTTGGTAACTTAGTTTTCGATGAACACGCATGCTTGAAGTTAGAATATTGCGAAACATGCAGTAAAGCGGCATCAATTCTGTATGGAACAAATAGGTAAATGTACTGGCCTTACTTTTGTGCTTTCCAATAACTGATTTGCGTCCTGGTTCTTTAAAAACCACCATGAAGTGATCGAGGCTAGTCTTTCTGAAATTTGGTTATGTACATATGAAAGCGTTATGCCAAAATCTGAACATAAAATAGTGAGCAAACTAGTAATTCGGAAGGAAATACTTTATCTTGGCTTGGACGCTTCATGCCGGTAACCGAGTGAAAAATGAAAAACGTCAACATTTCTTTCTATTGAAAACCTGGTGGAGGGCATCATTTAGAAAAATTGCTTCTTCTGGGCTCTGACCGCTCTTCCAAACCTTCCATTTTAATACACAGGAATCACTATCACTCCATTCCTTAAGCAGTAACATTGACCAAGGCCCTGTTTTCATACCATTTGGACTCATGCAATTCCATATGGAGCAGTTTAAATTCTGAATTTTTTGCTTACTAGCTGCAGCACTTGCATCTTCCTTCTCATCATCACTTAACACAATTAAATCAGCTGCTGGAGCACTTTGCTTCTTGTTTTCATGGGCAACATTTACCTGTCCATGTTGTTTTGTCTTAGATATATCATTAGCAGGCTGATACGGCTCTTGTGGAAGGGCATTGGGTCGGCCTTGAGAAATAGAAGCAATAACTTTTGCTGGGAAGGCTTCAGCATGTACTGCTCTAATATTGGTATGCTTTATTTGACAACCTTCATTCCTCTCCGTCCGAAGAGTGCTACCATCTTGAGTATCATGAGGATGAGAGTGTAATTGATGATTTACTTCCAATGCAGCTCCTTTATGATGCTGCTTATCTGCCCATATAAAGATAAAAATGCATGAAAGATATTATAAGCTAAATTATCTGGAATTTAAAGATAGAATCATAGATACATAACTGCAATTACAGTGAGGTAAGCGATCCCTGACTCACCAGTATGATTAGCTGCAGCACTTGGATCTTGCTCTCCATTATTGCTTGACACAATCAACTTAAATCTTGGTGCGCTTGGCTCATTAGATCCATCTCTTGGAGTGCTTTGCTTCTTGTTTTGACACTCAATGTCTACCTGTTCATTTTGCTCATCTCTGGAAATACTGTTAACAGGTTGACATTGCTTTAGTGGAAGAAAAGCACTGGGCATGCCTTCAGAAAAAGGACTAGGAGTTTGTCCCGAGACTATTTTGGGTTGGGATACTCTGGAGCGGTTTTTGTTCAACTTTTCAAAATACTGCTTACTCCCTGTCTGAATAAAGCCACAATTTTTACCATCACGAGTTGTAGTGCGTGATTGATGTTGAAGTTTTTCAAAAGCTCCAAAATGCTTCTTTTCCGCTGGAATTTGGAACAAACACAACATGACTTTTTGAAATCCCCAAAAATCGTCATGGTAAACAGCCATATTACTAAGACAGTTATAACTCCGTAATTTATTTCAAAATTTAAATTGAAAACAATACGAAATTCATTAAAAGACCGCACCAAATTCTAACTCTTCACATGGTTAAGGTCACTTTGCAACTGTAGATAAGCAACCATGGATGAAAAATGAATACAAGCACCCCAGATACGTGATGGTTAAGGAAAAGAGAATAATGAAAAGGATAACTTATTTCTCAAAGAACACAATATCTGCAACGAAAATATGGCATTTTGTTTGTCCCAGGCCACAGTTAGAGGCAGTTGACAATGTTCATGATGTGAGGGAGAGTTGTAACATTTACAGGTAGAGATATGCAAAATGCCTATACAAGGGAAATACCATAACTGAGCAAGTGTATCAAGGGCCAATAGGAAAATAGAAAAGAAAACATATATCATGAGAGTTGTTTAGCTGCTTTTGGCACTAAGCAACCAAGCAATTTCAAGTGTAGCCCATGAATTTTCAATTTGATGCACTCAATCATTCCGAGCTGGACTAAAGCCCTGTTTGCAGCTTGGGAATGTAGTATGACCGTCTAGTCTTAAAACTGTCATCGTCTAAAGATGTCTTAAAGTATATCTTCTATCTTTTGAATCATGTTAGTCCGTCTTCAATCTTTTTTCTTCATCACTTTGATTTTAGTGTTTTAGGTAGATACAATATTGTTTGTGCTTTAACTTTTGAGGCCCTTGCGGCTTCAAAAAAGGGACTTGCACCCATTTGCAAGCTATGGTGTATGGTGCTTTATTGGCTTGCTTTCATTTACTTCACAACTCAATTAGTCTCAAAAAGTTCATAGCAGGCACAAAAAAGCAAACTAATGAATGTAAGTTCCCTTTTCTAGCTTGTTGCAGAGCTTTGTTTTAAATATTTGAACTTCCTAAGTGAATTTGGGTTAGAAAGACTTAAATGACAAAAAACTTGTTGAATGATCAGACGAAAAGCATGTTTTCCCCTTTCTATAAGAAGAAGTTCCCATTCAAATATACAAAAACATGAGTAATTTGCAAGACAAGCCATGGAACTTTGGAAGAGTGTGAGTGAGCATATAAAAGCACTGATGCAGTTGCATACAACCAGTATGTTTCTATGCCAGGTAGAAGAACCACTGGAAAAAACAAAACCCAAAAAATAAAAGAACAATGAATCTAGCACACGCAAGAGTTTAGCCAGTAGTCAATAAAAGAAGTATGAAAGTGAAAAGGACAGAAAAAGTACAAAAGCACAAGAAAAAAAAATGCACACCCTTGGACGCAACAGTACAAATTATGATAAGTTATTTTGGAAGAAAAATGTCATTTGCAATAGAAAAAAATGTTTCACGTATAAAACAGGAAGAAGACTGCTCAACCTTTGTTCTTTGGCTGTTTGTGAGAAACCAATAACTCAATCCTTGTTCTCTGGGACATAAACAATTCATATGATACTTATATACCAAATGGATAAAGTTGTATTCACTTTCCTAAATTGTTGATGGTTTAAAGCCCCTGCCCCAGTAGAGAAGTTGTACTTCTCTAATATTTTCCCAATATATGATCTCACTCCATGAAAAAAAAAAAAAGGAAATACAAAAAAGTTCATATTTTTTATTCTTTCAAACGAGAATGGTACATTAATGAAATAACACCGCCCAAATGTTCAGATCCTTGAAAACAAAAAGATTGTAGTGATAACAAACTATCCATGAATCTTGATTCAAGAGAGAACAATTCACAGAGTAATTATATTTCAAATAATTAATAATGTGATCTCATCCCTCTTATAGAGATAACAGAAATTCTCCATGTGAAACTGGGACAGGGTCTTGCTTAACAGTTTTGGTCTCTAATTGTCCAGATATGAATTTTTTATAGGCTTACTCAGACATCTTTCCCATAGAGAGTCTGATTTCAGATTGAGAACGAGAATGAGTGAGACACCCATGTACCCAACTAATAATGTCACAAAATAGAAGTCAGAACCAATCTACCAAAGGTAGAAAATCAAAATCAAACCTCTTTCTTCCATTTCTATGCTTTGATCATCTTTATGAGCAGAACCAGATTTGATTAGTTTAGAAGCAGAGTTTTCACCGACAATGTCTCTATTTCTTGTAAAATGAAGCCTAGACCAAAAGCTATAGAAAATCACTTCAGCTAAATGTGCAACCTGCACAAAGTCTTAAATCTTCTTCAGAGGATAATGTATTTCAATAGAGCAGTAGAAAATCCTGAACCAGACTAGCAGTTACAATTCAGGAACCTTAAATTTTTGTCATAATCTATCAGGTTATCTTTGATATAAACTTATTCACCTTTAAATCATATGAGACACAAAAAGAACCTGAACTTCCATGGATCAAAAAAATAAAAGAAGAGGCTGTTTAAGATTTTGAAGTAATTATGACAGATTTGAAGCTGATTTGCTGGGAGTAAAAACAGAAAGTCAAATATCCTTTCCTATAAATCAGAACCTAGCAATAATACCTATTTATGTGTAGTTAATAGCTGTCCTAAAATAGATATGTAAATGCTGTATATATTCAACAATTCATTATGAAATAAAGTGAGAAGTCAGAATTTAACAACTCTCTATATGGTATCAGAGCCTAAACCTTGACTATATTTTTTTTAGCCTATCTCTCTCTACATTAGAGCCTAAATCTGAGATTTCTCTTCTCTCATTCCCATCTGTCCTGACAATTCTAGTCACTTACTCTAGCAGACCTATCCAGATCTGAAAAAAAAAAAATGTCTGAAAACATTACAAAAGAAACTCAAATATTAGGGGAATTCCAGAGTTTACAGTCATCCTATAGACTGAATGGAAGAAACTATCTAAAGTGGTCACAGATAGTAAAAACCTTTCTCAAAGGAAAGGGAAAGATTAATCATTTGATGGACAATCCTCCTAGTCCAGAAGACCCAAAGTTTACACTTTGGGATGAAGAAGACTCCATGATTATGTCATGGCTA